ACCATCCTTCACATCAATAAAAAGCCTACTTGTTCATAGCTAAACACGTTCAATCTTGTAAGCAATTCCGAAGCGGGCCGTAAGTAGCTAGGATGAGGTGAATCCCTACAAAAACATCGTTGATAATGGTATACTAAGTGAAGACCTCACGGAGATCATCGTGGTATTGATCAGTTTAGCCTCGGAAACGATTTGTGACACATTAGTGACGCTGTTCCGGGGCCCCTTTTGCACAATTACAAGAGTGAGGTGTATACAGCGTTGGCACCCGAGTTGGATCTGATGACATGGATCATTGGTATATTTTGGTCAACTAGGGCTATGATATTTCAGCCCAATGCAAGATCGACAAAAATTAGGCGCACTTTTTGTTTATGAATAGCGATAAACGCGAGTCGGTAAGCTGATATGTGATGAGACTGAAGGTGGTGCTTTAGCTTTGGCATAATCCTAGAAATACATGCAATGTGGGTTGATCAAGTGTGCATTGGCGGCACTATTGGGACTTGTGGAACAAAAATGATTGAATAGGTGCATTACAGAGCTACAGGGTTGGTAGGATGCCCATACCGATCAAGTGCACTAGAGTATGGGTGGTTAATCATTAGTCTCACTAGTACTCATGAACATGTCGGCTTTATGCAAATTTGTCTCCCCGATGAGGCAGTCTGTGACTGTAAAACGTATAGTGACTCTCATATTATGCATGAAGTGCATTGCATCACGATGTAGTGGGGTCCTGGGCCGGCGGATGTAGATCATAGTGTGCATAATGTCAAAAAGTGCGTGTGATAGAACAAGAACAAAGATTTGGAGCGTTGAAGCTCATTTTAATATGCTATTGCCACATCCGATCCATCACAGGCCACATGCGATGGGAATCCTATCTTGAGATATTCCTTGTCCCTTCACAGCACACCTCGAAAAGCTGGAAATAACCTATAAAAGCCACCTTCTTGTCTTTTAGAATGTTCACTTTTTCTAAACCTCCGACAGTCTATCCATTTGCAGTGTGCTGGGATTCACACCCAGGTTAGTTAACTTGTTGGCATCGGTAACCTCCGATGAGAACATAGCTATCTTATATCTGGTAAGGCTCCCCCTCTTTCTCCCAACCTGTTTGATATCGCACAGTCGTACAACTATCCAGTATATTTCTGGACCTCTTAACTTTTCATGATGTGCTGACTGTGCTGCTAAGCATATGCACAAAAAGTCCCACGGTCTTTCACAATTTGCCACCTTGGTTCCAAGCAAAGTACAACAGACAACCAACCTTGGAGTGTGTCCGTCTAAATTTGAACTTCAGCAATGGCAGAAACAACATTTCAGGGGTCTAGACATCCTAAGTATAGTCATGGTTACTCAGCCGATGTGGACATTATCCGAGACCAAGAGTACCCTCTGCTAAATGGTACAAGTGCCCGCTTGCTATCACTCAATGCATGCTGATCACTGCTCTGCCAGATACAACATACCTAGACTATGCGGGGACAACACCCTACGCCAAGTCCATGATCGAATCTTTCTCGCGTGATCTTACATCGAATCTGTTTGGAAATCCTCATTCGATGTCTGCATCGTCGCAGCTTTCCACACAAAGAACAGAAGATGTTCGGGTCCGCGTATTGCGATTCCTCAATGCGGACCCAGATGAGTTCGACCTTGTCTTTGTGGCAAACGCAACTGCTGGAATTAAGCTAGTTGCAGACTCACTCCGGGATTCTGACCATCGAGGATTCTGGTATGGCTACCATATTGATGCTCATACTAGTCTCGTCGGTGTACGAGAGTTAGCCGAAATGGGCTACCAGTGTTTTCTAAGCGATGATGAGATGGAGGCTGAGATTTCAAATTTGGCTGGCAACCAGTCGAAGGCGCCCAGACTACTTGCATACCCAGCCCAATCCAATATGAACGGCCGGCGTCTGCCTATTCGATGGTGCGAGCAGGTGCGAGCTGCAACAAAAGAAAGCGGAGGAAATGTTTACACCTTGCTTGACGCTGCGTCGCTGGTATCAACCGCTCCACTTGATCTGGGCCCGTCTTCATCTGCTCCAGACTTCACTGTGCTCAGCTTCTACAAAACCTTTGGATTTCCCGATTTGGGTGCTTTGATTGTCCGCAAAAGTGTTGCACGTGTCTTTGAGCGACGGAAGTATTTTGGCGGAGGCACGGTTGACATGGTCCTGGCCACTGGGGTGCAATGGCATGCGAAAAAGGAAACCTCTATCCATGAGCGGCTAGAGGATGGTACGCTCCCATTCCACAATATCATAGCTCTGGATGCGGCCTTGGACACCCATGAGCGTTTATTTGGTTCCATGGCGAACATTTCGGCACACACAGAGTTCCTCGCAAAGCAAGTCTATGACAGGCTGTCTTCATTGGCACATTTCAATGAGAGAAAAGTCTGTCAAATCTATCAATCGAACACCTCGGCATACGGCAATTCACACATTCAAGGTCCGATTGTTGCGTTCAATCTTTGCAATAGTCGCGGTGAATGGGTTCCCAAAACCGAGGTAGAAAAATTGGCTACGGTGCAAAACTTGCAGATACGGACTGGTTCGGTTTGTAATCCAGGAGGAACAGCCTCATCGCTTGGATGGACTGGATCTGAGCTTCGCCGGCATTATTCTGCGGGATTGCGTTGTGGTGATCACCATGATGTTCTTGGAGGGCGACCAACAGGGATTTTGCGTGTCAGTGTTGGTGCCACGACAAATATGAAGGATCTAGACTCCTTGATTAACTTCATTGAGGAGTTCTACGTGGAGAAGAGCCCACCTATAGTCGCTCTGGATCCTCTGACAGAAAGCAGTGAGGTCGCTGCCCCTCATTTCTATGTTGAAAGTTTAGCTGTGTTCCCAATCAAGAGCTGTGGTGCTTTCAAGATACCCGAGGGAAAGCGCTGGGAAGTGAAGAAAGAGGGGCTGGCTTGGGATCGAGAATGGTGTTTGATTCATCAAGGGACTGGTGCAGCCCTGAATCAGAAAAGGTGCGTAGCGCCCAAAAAAAGGATTCGACTTCCTAAACTAACGCTTGTAGATACCCTCGCATGTGTCTCATAAGACCCTCGATTGAGATTGAAAGAGGAGTTCTCCGCATTACTTGTGGTGCAATCGCCGCACCAGATCAGGTTAGCCTTGAGATCTCACTTGGCTGGGAGGACACCAGTCTCATCTCCAAATCCTTCTGTCCAAGCTCGACCAAAAAGCCTACAACAGTCTGTGGCGACCGGATTTCTCTTCATGCCTACACGTCCCCGGTGGTCTCTGCATTTTTTTCAGACTTCTTGGGAGTACCCTGTACTCTCGCACGATTCCCTACACGGACTAACAGCCGGTTCTCACGGGTGCAACAGACACCAAATACATGGAAGCACCGTTTCCGCAAACTGATCATGCCTGGCTCGTTTCCAGCTGATTTTCCTCCCCCGGCACGGGAGGGTGGCCAGAGACAAATCAAGCTATCCAACGAGTCGCCAATCCTAATAATCTCACGTTCATCTGTCAACCGACTGAATGAGACCATCAAAGCAAACAACAAACAAGGCAGCAGTAAGACTGTTGCTGCAGACGTCTTCCGGGGCAACATTGTCATTGCTGAACGGCTTGCTCACCGTGGCGATGTGGAACAACCGTACGCGGAGGACCGGTGGTCATCCCTTCGAATTGGACCAGACCAGCTTCGGTTCGATGCTCTCGATGCATGTCAACGATGTCAAATGGTTTGTATAGACCAGTTCACCGGTATTCGACGCGCTGAACCGTTTTCAACGCTTGCCAAGACGCGAAATATCGACGGGAAGGTCGAATTTGGTAAATATTCCGCGCTTTCCCCGGAAGAACTCGCGGGCTTTGACTCAGAACTGCCTGGTCGCAGGACAGTGATGGTAGGAGATGTGGTTATGCCATTCTACCAGGATTATTAAGTCTTTGAATTACTTTCTTTTGAATTTTGGGTGATTAGTTCACATTTCTGGGTAGACTTGAGTGCTTGATTATGTCGTTACATACTGTATGCTTTGTATACAGCTGTGCTAACCAAAGAGACTGTGATTTTGATTTGTTCTAATATAGTTCAATCAAGAATATTCGAAGCATACCTGAACTCCAAGATGGGCAAGATGTGACCCGAAAGTCAGCATACTAACTCTTTCAAGTGGAACGGAAGTCCATTCATGCGCGATTCCCCTTTCAGACGTGATTTGGCCACCTTCCAGAACTTCAACTTATGTTTTTGTGTGAACGGCGCACAAACTCCAGATATCTATTTTGAGAGCTGCAACATCAATGGTTATGTTGGCAGTGATATGTTCGATGCGGCCGATGTGGTCGTAGGCTGGCGTGCCGAGGTGGGCTCGGAAGCCGTTTCCCCTGGGCTGTTTGTTGTTGATTGATCTTCTCCTTGAAGAGCAACAAATCATACAGTTGAACGCTTGATGCTAGTAAGATATCCTACTAGAGCTTTGGTGTTCGGGACATAGGGAAGATACATCACCCGAGATTGCCTTTAGAATCTCGGCCAGCTGCTCGCCGCAGACCAGTGACTTAAAATCAGAGTGATAGCCAGTGAAACTTTTTATGCACATTAGTTGGCGCTAACTGCTAATGTTAGATTTGTCGTAAGGCGTCCATTTGCCCATGATGCGAATTCAGACTTAGACTTCTTGCATTCATCCCTTGAGTTCTTTAGGGTCGACAGATTTACACTCGTCGGTGTGTAGGAGGTATTTGTTATCATTGTAAGAAGCCCCTTTTTTTCAATTATGAGAGGTGACGATCTTGGAGTAATATGAAATGAGTTACTTGGTTGTATACACCTTGATGTTGTTTTTGGTCTTAGATTGGCTCAATGCCCATTGGTGGGTTACCCCGCTTATGGACCCGCATCATCACCTGATGACCTCAGAAGGATCAAGTAACCTGGCTGCTTCAACATTTCGCAACATATTGCCCTTGTCTTTAGCGAATCTCCCGAGAAGAACCTTTGATATGGCGGGCCGATTTCACTCCCGCGAAGGATCCGATACCTCTCTCAACGCGTCCATTGCTTCCCCGCGATCCAGCACCGAGTCCCGGTCTCCCTCTACACGAAATCCACTCCGCATTTCAGCAAACCACCAGCACAGACCAAGCTTGAGCGAGTCACTTCGCGGCCCGCCAGGTTCTCCCCGCGCACGCCGGCAGCCGTCCCTCCCACAATCTGCCATCCAGAGCCTCATCGACAATCCCCCACCACCGAAGGCTAGCAACCCTGCCTTTGTTGGTCGTGATTGGAGACAGATTTCAATTGGCGAGCTGGTTAGCCCGGATGACCTGAAGTTTGTCGAGCTTGACACGGGTATTGAAGATGCGACGAACGTGAGTATATTACAAAGGTAAAATTCCTGGTCCTTGGACTAACATGCTCGTCCAACTAGATCTTGATTGATTCAGGTGCGGCTGTGCTGTTGATCCGCGAGACCCCTGAAGCCACTTCCGCCGTCGCCACATTCGACTATGCCGATCTCAACTCCTATCTCCTACTGGCAGCGGGCCTGACACATCCCGACGAAGCGCATCGAGCGTCGTATGAAGAACTAGCCAAGAAAGCTCACAACGGCGTGCCCATTCCACTGAGAGATGTGAAGAAGTTTGGCATGGAGAAGGAGCCACTGATCAACCTGCCAGCGTCGGCCAATGTTTTGACGGCGGTTGAGATATTTGGTGGTGGTGTGCACCGGGTTGTGGTGGTCAAAGAGTCCAATGATCGAGAAGTAGTCGGAATCTTCAGCCAGTTCCGACTGGTCAAATTTCTCTGGGAAAATGGCCGCAGCTTCCCGGTCATTGAAGAGCTGTATCCGAAGGCTCTGCGTGAGCTGGTGATTGGATCGCAAGAAGTGATTTCCATCAAGTAAGTTGTGTGGGAGAATTATTGAAGACCAATCTAACCGCCATTTTGTCATTTGCAGTGGTGATAAACCCCTCTCTGATGCTCTTCATGTGATGAACAACGAGGGCATGTCCTCGATCGCGGTTGTTGACAACTATTTAAACGTGCTTGGGAACATTTCCACAGCGGATGTCAAGGTATGTGACAAGCCCTCGTGGGTGGCCAAGTTTACTCACGATTTTGCAGCTTCTGACCCGATCATCTTCATTACCACTTCTTCAAAACACCTGTACTCATTTCATCTCGATCATTCTGTCCACGCGGGGTTTGATTGAGGGTAAAGACTCATTCCCGGTCTTCCATGTCAATCCTGGATCGACACTCGCTCACACAGTCGCAAAGCTCGTGGCAACTCGATCGCATCGGTAACTACTGCACACTCGTCATGTAAACAGAAAATTTGCTGACTGCAGATTCAGGCTCTGGGTAACCGATCCGTTATCTCCAACCTCCTCAGGACCGCCAACTCCATCACAGTCTTCAGTCCACCTCCCTCTTTCCAACAGCATCAGCTCGGCTACCGGATCTTATGCTACAAATTCTCCGCCACCATCTCCTTCTGTCCCCGTGACACCTTCTGCACTGCCCTCTCAATATCCTGCCCCTCACCTACCAAATCCCAACCTACCCTACACATGCCCAGCCCCAGGTGTGACAGTCCCAGTGCCATCGCCCATCTCGCATTCTATTCCCTCATCCACTCTAGATGGAGCACGACTGTCCGGGCGCCTGGTTGGAGTACTTAGTCTGACGGACATCCTGAACTTGCATGCCCGAGCCGGTGGGCTAAACCCAGCTGACCCCGCGGAGTCTCGTAGCCGCCGCCGACGCAGTAGTTCTTCAAGCCAGAGTGTCCGCCGCAGCGGTGACATTGGCCGGGAGCTTTTCAGCCGTGGTGGCATGTAAAAGCACCCACTGCATTTTACACTTGGGCTCAACTACCGACGATGTTCTCGGCGCGCCTGTATTTTGAAAATCTGATATACGCACTTGTTTTTTCCCGACGCGCTTGGGTTTGTGGGAATCCCAATGCCCGTCACCCCCACTTGTTATGAAAATTCGTCACACTTCATCAGTCATGCAAAATAGGAGGCGAGCTGATGGACCATTGGAATTGACCAGTCTCTCGTTATCGTCTTTAGCAGCGGATATGATTTCCATTATGGATCAGCATTACCAATCAACTTCACTTGACTCTCTCCCAATGTACTCCCTCGCTTGCATCCTGGTAGACCGTGCGATATGTCTGACTTTCGAGTCTCCTTGCCAGATGAATCAGATCTAAAAATCCACACTAAACTAAGATCAACAGTTCTCGGACAAGGCCGACAAAACCCAGGCAAAACCCTCCCTCGGACGAAAGCCGAAAATCTACCGGATTTTCAAGAATGGATCACTACAGAAAGCCCGCGAAACAGCACCCTAATCTCGCACCACTCCAAACCATCAACCGGAGAAACATCTCCGGCCTCCACAAGCAGTCTTATTGAGTCCCATTAAACACTGTCCAGCGGCGCAAAACACTCCCACACACGCAATGATATCTACTTTTGCACATCAAACATCAAACATCAGCGTACAAAACTGATTCCAGATCACCGTACCCTTGGTCCTCGTATTCCATCATTCAGATAGCTTTTTGCGTTGAATTGGGTTTGAACATGATCGAGGTAGGGGGGCGTGGATCAGCTGTCGGTTTCTGTGTGTGGATCACTTCTAGGATTTGGCTTCTTGCTGCCTCTCACTGGCTCGTCATATTTTGGCTAACCCACCTCCTTGCACAGTGACTTGCGTGTCGTGGCATCGTTAGGTTAGTGCTATCGGTCTCGTTTTGACTTGGGCCGATTTGGACTAGAAGCTGTTGCGTACTGGAATTGGGCTTTGGCCGAGATCTTGATTTGAAGATAAATGTCCATCCTGTCACGCGTAGATTGATTCCCCCCTTGAAGAACTAGCTATATTAATCCCTCTTTGATGAGACAAGATTGACGGTGTCTTTCAAACGACGATATCTACCAAGCTCAGAGAAATAATATGAGCGAACTTCTACAATCCGGGGAAGGTCTTCCCAGGCGGGCAACATCCTACGAACGCATCCACAGCCATTTCACCTTGTTCTCCACCTCGCCCATCTGGCCGGTTCTCGCCTGAAGCCACTTTTGCTCCACTAAACACCGAGAGACCGGACTGGACGCTGATCATGGAGACACCCCTTGGGGCATTTCCGGATGAATTTGGGACTGTGATTGGGCAATATTGTAGGTCTCGATTTGGGGGGATTTGGGCATCTGGTTTAGAAAGGAGATAGCTTCAGGCTCTGGTCATTTTTTAATTTTGGGATTATTTACAGCCACGTAAAGAATCTTGAGATATCGGCATGTTCGATTTGAGACGTGGAAATGCACAGTTTACCATCTCCGGCCGTGTGTAGAAGAAACTAACCAATCAATCTACCGGCACAAAACACCTGGAGATAGCCGCCATTTGGTCCAGACTTTGTCCAAATCGACCGACCTGGACTCCATAGCCAGATTGCTTTATAGACGGTGAATGCCTACTCCGCATCGCTAGCCCACTGCTAAGAAATACCTCGAATGCAGGCATGCAAGCCCCAATAAGACCAAAACAGACGAGGTAGCCCAGGAGGTGCGAATCATGCCCTCCAGGGCTATCACGCCAGGGCCTCTATCCATCACCATCACCATTACCACCCATGGACCTATCACCTACCTTGGGAGTCATCCACATTTAAATCTGTCAATCTGACAGGCCACCCACCGGATCCCCAAGCCACAAACCCAGCGTTGAATCTGACAAGCGAAAGAGAAAAAAGAATTCGCCACTCTTCACCCCCTCTCCCCCCCCCTCCCCTTAATAAGCGTGCACGGGGCCAGCGGTGCAGTCCAATCCAACCGGAACCAATTATACAACCCGAGCATGAACCTCCAGATGGGCAAGCATCTGCAGACGCGTGGGTGGATACAGGACGCCTCGTTGGAGCTAGAGGGTCCCGTATTCACAAGGAGGAATTAGAGTTTCTGATTCAAGGCGGATTTTTTTCCTGTAAGATTTGTCGTGTACCGACAATTACCAGGTCTCGACCGTTGCTGTGCTACCCTCGGACTTGTCTTCAACCGTGGTAAAGGCGTTAATGGATTCTATACTTTTCATGGGTCAGTGCGGGCGCTAGTTCGTTGCTGGGCCAATCAAAATTGGGGCTGGGCTGAGCTGCAACCTTAACCCCGCAATCTGGGATTCTGCAGTTCACTTGTTTTCTTTTTTTTTTTTTTTTCTTCCCACATACAGTGGATACCTTTTGGGTGTTGCTGGGTCTTTGGTCTGATGTTTGTGTGTGTAAATAATTCGAGGCCTGGACTTACTACTTATCACAGCATTGTAGCATTGCTAGGGACTGGTAGAATACCGATGCTCTGCCCTTTATTAAACGGAAGTAGAAAGGATAGTCGGCCCTGCACGATCGCCGTTTGACCCATAATCCCGGGAACGCCTTAGCGATCCAAGCAGGGGGGGCGCAAGACCACAAGTAATTCCGTAGGGCACGGGGCACTTGCATTTCAACTTACTTTCCTCAACACGAAATTTAAATATACACCGAGTGGAAGCTTCATTTGCAGCAGTCAACCCGAATGTCCAACTTGGAATTCGGCGAAGGAAGCCTATCCTACCTCGTGGTCAGCGCGAGACCGAGAGCGAGATTACGAGATCAAGAAAGTGTAAAAAGGGACCAAACAGAGAAAGCAAAGTTCCCCTCCCCTGCACCCGAGAGAACAAAAGTTCCTGTTTCCATACATTACGCAAGGCCTAGCCTGGGATCTACGGAAGGGTCCACGGCTATGACATACAAAGTAGCACGGTGGTCACGACGTGACAAAGTACGGCGGGCGGTTCCCACGGTTCAGGATGGTCTGATCGCTGGATTTCGATTAGGTACTTGATCCATGACCGTGAGGACGTACGTGATGGGCTGGGAAATACCTCATAGCCCTGCAGGGGTTTCCTGTGTTTTTGAACTGTGAGACAGACCTACTACGTACATAGGGCGGGAGACTTGTTATGACGGATGCAATTTAGTTGCGGAGTTGGTTTACTAGATGCGGTATTTTGAAGAGAAAAAGTGTGTGAAGAACAAGGGTTTAAGATTTAGTCCTCGAAGCTAATGACAAAAAGGCAGCACTGGTTAAGGGAACGGAAAGGTCAAAGGTCATTGCTATGTAATGTCTCAGTGAAGGTGGAACTGCATTGGGGGAAGCTATAGCTACAGCTCCGCTGGCACGGCCCGAAGGAGCATAGAGTCTGGAACTAGGTTTTATCCCTCAAGCAAAAAATGAGATGCCAATAATCGCGCAGATACCAGAGCAGTGGTGGGGACGGCGCCGGATTAGGACACAGACTTGGCGAGTGATTGTTTGCGGATCGATGCAACGTTAAATCTTACAAACATTCAATCTACCGAGGTGAAAACTCAGTACGGCGATTGAGAAAGAAAAGTGGTTAGAATGGGTCTCTCCATGTCGCTGTACATACATTGAAGAAAGGTAGAGGAATGATTAAAGAAAAACAAAGGAGTGACAAAGAAGAGCAAGATTCCATCCGATACCTATAAAGATCTCCAATCCTGACTCCTGTTCAGGATATTAAATGAGAGATATGAGAAAGAGAAGAAAAAAAAATAATATGATACAGGAGCAAATGTGCAAAGCCAACCCGATATACACCCAATCCCAAAAAGAAGTCAAAGAAAAAGCCAAATGCCACCTAGGTATATCAGGTGTCATATATCATAATAGGCATGATAGACTGATATATGAAGTTAACAAGAGACGCTGGTGAAATCATCAACAGCGAGCAGGTCATCAAAGCCAAAGGGCTGATCACGATCAGAAAGCGGAACAGTCGAATTACCCAAGTGGAAAGCAAACTGACTGAAATCTGTGAAGTCAGGGTCCAGCCCCTCATGGGAGACCATAATGCCATCACCGTCCACCTTCCCACCCTGTGACATGGTAGCATGCACCGTAGCAGACGTTGGAGACAGCGGGGTGCTGGGAGTCGGACAGAAGTCCGGCGTGGAGTGAGTGCCGGCCGAGAGGGCCTCGAACTTAGGAGAGCTTAGACTGGATGGGGCCTTCTGGGGGTGAGAAATGCTTGTGCTCTGGGTAAGGAGGTTGAGATTGTGGAAGTTATTCGATGGCTGGGACTGGCCGCGCGAGTGACCATGGGTAGGGCCGTGGCCGGTGGGGCCAGACATGGATGCTGAAGAAATGGGTGGAGCCGCTGTATGCTGCAGAGGCAACTCCGGTGCGGACGCTAGGCGATCTCTGAACTGATGCATTTGGGTTGCCGAGTCAGGCATCTGGGCCTGCTGCATCATTTGCTGCTGCCACATTTGCACGGCGTGCGTTTCTGTGGGGGTTTGCGCAGGGGTTGGGTTGTGCTGTTGCATCGCGGCCCACGCGGGTACTTGTGAGTTCCAGGCTGGTGCTGAGGCTTGTTGGTGCATGTAGGCCGGAAGTTGCCCCGACGGCGCCCCTGTTGAGGCAGAGAACATATCGGAGTATGGCGTCTGCGAACCGTTCATGTACGCCGGGTAGGACTGGGCACTGGGGTCATATGATGCTGTGGGCGATAGTACGTACCCATCACCTGTTGCCATTGGGCTTGCCATAGATCCTGGACCCTGGGAGAAGGAAGAGCGGAGATTGGAAAGATCCAGGCTCATCTTGCGTGGCCCGCCACAATTAACTCCATTTACTGATGGGCGTGGGGTCATGTGGCTTGCTCGCCGGCTGTGGATGGAGGATGCATTGAATTGAGCGCGGGCTGCAAAGGCGGCCAGTAGATGGTTTTTGAATTGGTCTTCGATTTGCTCGTTTTGGCGTTGCAGCATGAGGATGCGTTTTTCTTGATACCGCTCATCGACCTCTTCATACATGGCTTCTTTCTCCACGATCTCCTTGGTGATATGGAAGGCTTTGCCCGTGCGCTTCTTATGCAGCATAGAAGCCCGGTTTGCAGATTCCAAACGGGCATCTAAGCTGCGATCCTTTCGCCGGGACGCAGCGATGAAGGCTCTGGGTGGTTGTTAGTTAAATTCATTTCCCCCTTCTGTATGGAAGTTCATACCTCTCTTGGTTCTCCTCCCGCGAACGGGGGATAGGTGTGATGTCCTGGTCTAGATCTGACAGAGGCATATTGGATATAGTACCTAATCAACGTAGATTTATGTAAGAAACACAAAAAGAGGAGGGGGAAGGTAAGTTAAATACCAAAAAGCCTGGGGGAAATCCGAGTGTCAAAAGTTAAGCCCAAGCTCGGGGTCAGAACCACGGAACCGAGCCGATCATAGTTTGGGTGCTTGAAAAACTTACGGCTGCTCGGTCCATGGTCGCCCAGTTCCTCTTCTCTGCATTTGTACCTAAGTAGGCTAGTCCGCTCGAGAGCGCCACTAACCGTCAAATACGAGTGGCTCCATGTGGTGCCACTCATGGTGTCTAGTCTAACCTGGAGACCATTTCCTACTTCTCTGCAAATAAAGCTGCAGGATGCCACTTTTGTAGTTCTCAAGAGACAAAAATATGATTTCAGATTAGCCCTAGAGGTCTAGACCATTCGCAGCTGTTAAGTGGGGCGGCGTTACTCTGCACTCCAGACAGATCCCGATAGGTGTGTATTCCGATAGATGTGACTCTATCGAGGATCACTGCAGATCCTCTTAAGCGGTAGACCGTCAATCATTTTCTTTCCCTCTTCTGCGAGAAGGACCTCCGGTAGCACGCAGGAAAATAGTACCACGTGATAGCCGGATCGGGCAGGGGCCAGGACTGCGTCGGCACGTTACTCGGCTTGTCCCATCTCACTTGGAAACCTGAAATTCAGGGCCATGAATCCCTGCTTCGTTTCAGGCCTAGAATTGCTTGGGATATTTATGGGTAATGGTCCTACATGTTGAACCTGGTGCAGTGTTTCAGACACTCCATCGTCGGCCAACGATCGCATCTGCCTGGGATGAATCACATAGCATAACAGGCACAATACAGTTGTTGCCTTCCCGAAGAGAACAGCTAGCGCAGAATCTGGATCATTGTACCAGTCGAAAATTCCGAGTAAATTTTTTTGTCAACTTCATCGTTAACTATAGAACCCGGGAGTCTCTGCCTTCCTATTTAGGCAATTTCCTTGGCGTATCTCGGCGTACCTCGGCGTGCCACTCTTGCAGGGTTGGCCAGGCTCCAGGCTACTTCGACAGGTATTATTAGAATTCCTCTCGTGGACTATTGGTGGTTCTAAGCAGTGTAGTCATGCCAGTATATGACTATGGGTGCTGATTACTGTGAACGTGGTCAACTTAACCTGCATACACTCAAGAAGATATCGATCTGTCACTGTAGGGTGTAAATTACGCCTGCGTGTAGGGCTGTTGTGAGGCGGAAATACAGCACAACCCATCGTACGGACTAACAGATGGATCACACCCTAGTTGACCACCATGAGGCTAGATGAGGCAGGTTTATTTCTGAAGGCCAAGAAAAGGAAGAATTTCAAGGGCTTTGAGACAGATTTGTGGAGACCAATTGAGCCTATGACTTGTATCGTGTAGGTTGTGATCGACTACATACATGTGATGCCTGGTGACCTCCCATGACAAACGACGCCAAATTGAAAGCCCAGACAGACAAGACAGTCTTGGGGGCTTGCCACGAGGTGTCGGGTTACCTAATCCCATCCGGCCGAGACTAGGCGATTCCGAGCCAATGCCCCTGATTTTGCCACTGCGTGAACAATCCAATAGGACACTTCTTCACATTCCTTTGAAGCTATTGATGTCTCATTTTGTCCTCATGTGATCGGCATAAGGACAATTCCAAATGCAGGCTTATCGGCGTTAGCGATTAGCTACCACATGTAGTGGGGACTCGGCGATCAAGCCGATCGCACCCCCGCTGATCGCCTACATCCATGTCCGAGGTACATCCGTGCATTCCGAACAATTTGCGAGATCCATACAATATAGGCAGTGAAGTTGATATGAATGCCAAACGTAAAATTGAGGATTTCACATTTCCAGGCTGTGCCATGTTTAGTAACCAACCCCCCAGATTCCATCAAAAGGTTGTGTAGATAAATCTCTCGGAAAACGATCGGGGATCGATCAAGTACTCCATAGAGAACCCCACTCACACCCACAATCTCGACGCAAACTACGGAGTACAGTTCATGTCGCACATACCCGCCGGGAGGATTATAGGGAACTTTCACCGAGATCTGCAAACATATATACTCAAAATGGAATGTGTGGCTAGCCCTAGCACCGTGGCCGTGGCATTGGGTGGGCTATGCAGGGGGGAGATTTCCGCGGAATGGATTTTTTGGCGGTCAAATTTTCTTGTTCAGGGTACATCCCACGATCGTGCCTGCAGGCACATGGGTTTTGGCGCTAGGGCTAGTTCCTCGTGCCCGGTGTTCGGGTGGTTACTCGGTTAGGTAGGACGGTACCGTCACTCTGGGAGATTTGATGCTATGGCAAGGGAATCGGCCCCTCGCTCTTTCGCAAGGAGAGGACGGTGATTGGTTGATAGATTCGTTCCTGGCTACTTCCCCATCTGTCTCATTGAGAATCAGTCAATCCACCCACACGGTCCCCTTGCCACGAGAGTAAACCCAGTGCAAACGAAATCTTGTTTATAAACAGTAAACAGCATGAAGAGGTAGAAGACGCTAAATTCCCAATGAGGGCAGAGCCAAAGGAAAAAGACATCAAAGGTAGAGAAGAGCCAAATTCGCCGATGATGCTGCGCTGGATTGGAGTAGCCAACACCAGTACATAAGATCACGATTCCACGGGAGTGCTAGATTGTCCGATCGGGGCAAACTCTCATCGGACCGATCTGGAGAGCGATCTCGGACGTAAACGAACACAGCAAGATAAAGTTCTGCGATCGGCATTCGCTTAGGCGATTCCCAGCGGTGGCACCATCCCCTGTTCCTCACGGGCCTCGCCGCCAAGCTTGTAAGACACCTTGAACCGAATTTTCACCGAGTTTCCTTTTCCAACATCGATTCCGTCGAGGAGCATCTCCTGTTGGACCCCATTTTGCTGCTGGGGTGCAATGTCTCGACCCGACTGCGGCCGAAGCTGTAGCGTGTAGGACTAGTAAATTGTAAGCAATCTCATCTAGAAAGTGCACGATGGAAATCGTGGCAAATGGCCTACCTTCTCCACAGCGACCTGGAAATGGAGGTCTGCGATGCGTTGGCTGGTTGTATTTGAGAAAATGGCTACAACATGGATCTGGCGCGGTTGGTTAGGCACCCGGCGTATAGCAAAGTCAACACGCAGCTGAGAATCGAGGACTTGGATCTTGTTGGTCGATGGAAGTACGTTGCTCGCTGGCAATGCGGATGCGAAATCCCACTCATCATCTTCCATGGGAGCGGCCTGCGGCGCCGGTTGCGGGGATGGACCCATGCCTCCGACCAGGTCAAGCAATGACGACGAAGCAGGAGCGGGTTTGCTTTGCGCCGGTGGTTGGAAGGGACTAGATGTTGCCCGTGGGCTGGCAGAGACAAGCGATGCAAATGGGTCAACCGCCGGTGGCGGACTCGCTGTGGACTGGGCTCGGGGCGAGGCACCCATGACGGGTGTGGGAGATTGAGAGGCAGGTCGCGAAGTGTTCATAGAAGCAAGGATATCATAATTGGGTTTGAAGGCTGTTGACGCCTGCTGCTGAGGTTGTGATGGAGCAGGCGGTGTTGAGCTTGCTGGCATTGATAGGAAATTCACTTTGACATTGGTCAGTGGGGGTGATTCGGAAAATATTAAAAAATTATGCGGCGATACTTACTTGAAGATCCGAGAGAGATACCACCTCCGGGAGAAGGACCTTGCTCACCAATTGAAAGGCCGAACAGATCATTCTCCAAGGAGCTACCACCCTGGGATGATCCAGCCTCGTTACCGTTGGAGATGGGTTCAGGCTCCGGGTCGAAATCGATAAGAGAGAGCTCATTGTTTGCATTTTTTGAGACTCCGGTCGTGGTGCCTAGTGTACCTTTCGGGATCTGAGATGCGGCAACCAGATCACCCTTCTTAACCAGCTTGTACCGCTCGATTGTGCGATGTATACTGTCGTTTATCTCCAATAGCTTGTGGACGGCCTCAGGATCATTCGATTCTTCCTCGCACATTTTCTGGATTTTGGGGTGAGCGCTTTGTAAAGCACTTGCAAGTTCCTAGAAAGAGTATCTGAGGTCAATCAACTAGCAAGCAACACGCGTGACATTTTGTCACCTACCTCGAAAACATCGCCTTCGGGGAGAGCTCCTCCGGGCTGTTGATTCTGCAGCATCTCTTCCAATATCTTGGCTTTTTGCTGCACCTTAACAACCTCCTCCGCTGCCTTTGCTCGATAGTCAGTTTTATGCCGATTGTCGAATCCTGCCATAACCTTCATGAGCCGGTTCGCTTCCTGTAGATCGGAGGGAGTGCCCCTCCGAATCAACTCTTGGAGTTTGGCAGACTGTGCTTCTTTCTCTTCCTCTTCCATTTCTTCCGCTGAGCGGAGATTCTAGCCAGCGTTAATTTGACTCCGAGAATAATATCATGTGGGGTCACATACATCGCTTGGGTTCAAGACTGCGGCATCTTCTCGGCGGACCTCTGGGAACATATAGCCCTTGTAAAGCAATAGACGGTGCATGTCCCGAATGAAGCCGAGGTCATCCTTATAACGCGATGTCTGGCAGATAGTCTGGCGCCACTCCTCGATCGACTCTAATATGCGGTGCTGGACCCTGGAGGGCCGTATGGGTGGCCGCTCGGGGAACCTGCGGACCAGTTCATTCAAAAATTCCTTTGTGCCAATCTGGAGATGGAACGGATATCCGCAGTTCTTGACGGCAATATCGAGTAGCTAGAAACAGCCGTTGTCAGTCTCCCCCGCGCCAGCTGTCGTTTGAGCTCCCCACGTACCGCCAACGCCAATAATGCAACATTCTGGTTTCGGGAATTTATGAGATGAACGATATCAAATGCGGCTTCTCGGGGCCTAAGAATTAATTAGTGTGCGCTAATAAACGTGGGTGTTCTTACTCACGCATTGCCTTTCTTGGAGTTGATTAAATCCGCAACTTCGAGGTTCAGGGCCAAGTTCGGCTCGTAGTTTTGAGGATCGCAGGCATTTCCTATGAAGAG